CAACAATAATAATACCTAGAATAGTTCCTGGAGAAACTATAAGAGGATTGCCAGCTGTGCAAAACTCGTCCTATGTTGCATCATTAATAATAAGTATTTTGAACTCTGAGAGTCCAAAGTTCTCAGTTTGAAAACCTTTTGGAGCTCTTCTGTGTGACTCTATGTGTGACTGGGAGTGTGAATAGTCATCTCTTTTATTCCCCTGTGGTAGACTGGAGACTTGTCAAGGTGTCCCTGTGATGAGCTTGAGACCTGTCCAAGGTGCCCCCTGCTTTCACCCAGGGCAGCTGAAACAGGCTCCAGCCCCCACCCCAACTCTGATTAGGAATGAGGAGGACAGAATGAGCAGTGCTGCCTGCGATAGTGGGGTACACTAGCTGTTTTTTTCTATTAGTCCAGTAAGTTGTAGCTACAAAAGCAACTCCTATTACTTTTTTTTGAAAGTTTTGTTAAACTCTGAAGAGTTTAACAGGTGACTATGGCTTCTTGTTGTTGTTGTTGTTGTTGTTGTTGTTGTTGTTGTTTTTCACGCTGAGGGTCATTTCAATAGTTTTTAGCTTCACCGCTAAATGATGAGTGCTATGGATGTCCACTCTAAGTAAATGAACAATGCCTAACCTGGTGGGGAGGCATATAAAGTCTGGCGGCCCACCAGCCTAATAATACCCCAGGGGTAACTGTGTCTATTCACAATSCAATAGGTGCTATGTGATCTGTGGTGGAAGTTTGGTGCAGGACGGTATCAGGTCGGCTGTCTCCTCAGGGTGAAGATGACTTATCGAGTGGCTGGCTGAAGGGTTGAGGACTAGCTCTGATTAGCCCTGGTCTTACACTGAGCTGTGTTCCACACAGGTGTGCTGACAGACAAATGCCATACAGGAACAGAAAAGAAAAAAAAAAGCCTAAAATTAGCCTCTGTAATATGGCAAGTAGTAAACAGGAGAAAAAGAGGCTCTTTTCACTGAAAGATTGCACTGTTTTGCACTAGTATCCCCTTCCTTATGCCGTCATTGTTCATCTTTACTCACACAAACTGACCAAATAGGATAAGCGCTGCATGAGAGCATACTTTCAAATAGCATAAGAGGGCTGACGACAGCGGCTGTGACTGGAGTGGTGTGTTTCACGGTGCCTGTTCTTCTTTGCACACACCTTTTTCCTTTTTCCTCTTTGACAACCTGCACTCCTTAATTGAGCATTCCGCCTCAAAAACCTTTTAAAATGAACTTCAACAAAGGTGCCTCCTCAAACAGCGAGTCTGAAACGCAATACCAAGAGCAAGAAAGCTAATTAAAAAAAGAGCCTCTAAAACTTCTATATCTTGGACCAGCTGCAACAAAATCCAAGAAAAAACAGCTTGAAAATGCTGATTTTTTTCCCACAAAATGTTTGATGCTTTTATTTCTTTAATAACACGTTTTTACTTTGGAAAACAAAAATATTTTGGCTTGTGCTTTTAGAGCCAATTATGGATTTAGTGCACACCGCTAATCTGTTGAGTCTTCCCATGAAGATCTTGTTGTTTTTCTTTCCACTACTCCCTTCTCCAGGGGGTTTCCACAGCAAGCAAACACGCATGAAAAATTTAGCAATAATTTTACGCCGGATGCCCTTCCTGATAGAACGTTGACTAAAACCCAAAGCTTCAAGATTTCAAGACTGTGGCAATGACCACCAAGTACAGTTGGGTGATATTGGCAAAAAAAAAAAAAAAGGATCATGACTTATTGTGGCATTTAGCTAATAATGAGTAATGTAACAATTAATAGCACTTGCATGTAAACTTTTTGCTCCTAAACCTTGGTCCGTATTTTTGAGCTTTTCTTGTACTCYAGTTTATAGTATTGTTTCAGGTGATTAAACAAGTTCATAGGGTTAGAGTTAGCTGAGCCATGCCGCCTTCCGCTACTGGGCTTACATGTGTCTGATGGTGATGGTGTGTGGTATACAAAAATGTCATCACTTGGTACTAATTGCCATAATTGCAAAGAGACAAAAACTAATTGATGATCTAATGTTAATATTAATTGATAAATTTATTAATTGCACACAATTGTGCCCAACCATACCACTAAGCTGTAAATTGTAGTAAATTGAAATAATTCAGAAAATAGTTTTTTTTATTAAAGCATTTGGGTAAAAGTCTGGATGAGGACACGTTGCAAGAATATTTCCTATACGGAGCCTTTCTTAAGTTTCCTGTTCAGGTCATTACCACAAGCTTGCGTCTCAGAGTCTATAGAGAGGGAGCTGTCCGACTGTCCAGCCAGGGATAAAGCGAGCGACGACTTGCCCACGCCGTTCTGTCCCAGCAGAACTATCCTCAGCGCCCCGCCATGGCTTTGGTAAGCCGGCTGGGCCACTGCCAACTGACTGAAGGACTCRTCCCGACGCACAGCTGTGTCACTGATAGGCAACGTGGGAGGCTCCTCCAAGCCYGGGATCCAATCGCAGTCCTCGGACACGGCCTCCTCCCTCCGCAGCTGGTGTTTGACGGGCAGGGGGGTGCTCCCGCGCCGGAGGGGTGGAGCAGTGTTAAGAAACATACTGTACTGCAATCAAATTAGAAAAGATAAAAGGGAGACGTAAGTGCAAGTCCAACAAGGAGCCAATGGACATAAAATTAACACTTTTTGTTCAAGTAAATATTACAAGATAATGAGTGAAATGTGTGCCTCCACTGATTCTGTGTATATAAGGGGAAAGTGACAATAAGAGTGAGGTGATGAAGACCCAAAGAGAATGTCAAAGAAGATAAAACAAGGGAGAGTAGTGAGGAATGGACAGAAAAGCAGGGGAGCCACTGAAGCATTGTAAGAGACAGCAGGTTGAGAAGGATTTACATGGTAAATGAGGTGGAGACCTAAAAAAAGAGAAAAAGGAAAGTCAARGGACTGGAAGGGCTACAACTTTGTGACAAATGTGTTCAGGTGGCTCTGTGCTTGGCAATAAATGTGATGAGTGTAGCGTGAATTTATGTGGAAGCATTCAGCATAATCAGAAAAAATGGGGCTGTTATCATCCTCTTATTGCAAAAGGGAAATCAGTACCGGCGCCTGGCAGACCATTTTCTCTAGAACAACAGTTTGGCAGAGAATACTTTAGATGTATGTGTGTGTTCGTGTGTGACAGAGAGAAAGAGAGAGTAAAAACCACAGCAGGTCAGCCATAGACAACCCTCATCAATATTAATGCAGCAATTAATCTAACTCCAGTGGCTCCACTGGGCATCTGTGGCTCAGTCTGCCTGTGGCAAAGCTAATGACAGTATTGGCACTTAATTAAAGGGGGATGGCACAGAAACAGGAGCAAACTGAAATATCATGCAGTTTAGTATAACCATTAAGRAAGGTTTCCCAGCTTATCTTAAGCTGAGCAACTTTGATATAGAGGTTGACATATTCAGCAAAAGCCCACAAATGTCACCTCTGTCTAAATTAAACTTTACTCTCAGGGGTGGTCACTGGTCAATAGACTGAATTAGAATGATTGACTGCCAGGTGTAAATGAAGTGAAAACTTAGTCCAGTGTAGCACAGTATGTTTCCTTTTGCCTTTAAATGAGCTCCATTCGCTCCAAGCAGCCTTTAAGCAAATCCGAGCTAATGAATCACATGAGCTTGGCAGATCCAGAGCTGCAGAGGTTGTGTACAAAATTGTTGTACAACAGATCATAATATAGTCTTCAGTGCTATAATGAATGACCCATGGTGACCTACAGCCCAGTCAATATTTCTATCCATAAATCACATGTGCTGGTTTAATCCCTTAAGGAGTCCCGGTGATGAAGTGCAGTCTGCACCTGCTGACACTGAAGAAGAAGAGGTGGATACACTGCAGATAGGTCGTCTGTCCGTCACTAGGCTAACACAGAGAGACAGATAGCCCTGCACACTCACTCTCACACCTTTGGCTAGATTAGAATCATCAATCAAACCAACATGTATGCTTTTGGACTGTAGGAAGGAACTGGGAAAATCTGGAGAAAGATTGATAGCTACAGCACCACGTTACGACTATTGCAAAGTAAAATTTATTTACAATATTTTTTACAGTCCTGTAATGTTGTGTTGTCTGGTTATTTTTACTGTATTCTACAGGGCAAAGTAGCAAATGTATGTATGACTGTGATGCTTTGCAATGTATTACTGCAATGAGATGAACAATATACAGTAAATGTTACCACACACTAATACTTGGTGTTTTGATGTATTAAGACTATACGTTGTTCATTATTCTAGTATGGAATATATACAGTATGGAAAATAGTATACTGTATGATAGTATATATTATGTAGTGGGAAGCACAGTGAAGAAGTGGTATCAATGAGGTGTACTGACTAGAGGCTAAAATTGATTCATCAATGCATTGCAATTCATTTTTTTTCCAATTCAATATCGATTCAACCAGTTTGTTATGTTTTATAAGTATTACTGTGCTGCTGCTTTTTTTCCAGATATCTTGTTTCTCAAAAATGTTACCTTTTCTGTTTACATGGGTTTATATGGTGTGTACCCACACCTCACACACAACTAGTTAAACTGGAGACAACTATCTGGCTTTTCCTCAGATTTATTTTCATACATCCTGGGAGCTTTTGGGCTATACCCTTTGTGCAAGCTTTTATTTGGGATTTTGTATAGAGGTTTAGCATTCAAGTTACCAGGAGTTACCCAACATAGGAAAAGAGAACTTTTTTTTACAATATGTGGTTCCATTAAACACACAACTGTGCTCCTATAGTCAAATCTACTGGTACATCAGAAGTAATTTAATAAATATTTATTACTTTGTTACATTAGTTAGAGTCTTTGTTGGATACTGGATATTTGTGCTCTGGGAATGCAGCGTCATTTTTCTCCCATCTAACCTGGTGCAGGTAATCTGACCCCCAGTTTACATTGCTTGTGTTCCGTCTCCGCTCTGCTTCGGTCCGACCTCCGCAGCAAATACGCACCCATTATAATCAATGAGAGTGTTTACACTGGCTGCGCAGGGCGGCGGTGAGCGAATGGCGATCCGTCAAAATTAGAACAGATCCTATTTTTGCCGGATGCCAGAGCAGTGCCGGAGTCAATTTTTAAAGATTACATCACACCAACAGGAAAAGACACGAGCACAGCATCGGTATTTTCAAAATAAGACACTATTCGGCAGAATAATTTGTTGGAATAATGTCGAAATTGCGGCTATATCAATAAATATACGAATATTTCTACACAAATGCTGTCAGAATGTATTGTTTTGTTTGGGAAGCAGATGGAAACATGTAGCATGAAGCATATGTGTACACACACGACACATATGGATTTTATTTTGAAATCAGAAGTTTCAGAAAGCCGACAGCGAGACAGTTTCAACATAGATACCAAAAGCCTTTATATCGTTTTCAGCTGTGTTTGGAGTTCTTCTTTCATAGAATTAATTATTTTTGATGTGACTTCCACATTTATCACTGAATTTATCGCGCGATCTCCTTCCTGCACGTCTGTCGGAGCGGAGCGGAGGTAGTGTAAACTGGACTTGAAACGCACAGCTGCGACCTGCGCAGCGGAGCGCAGCGGAGACGCATGCAGTATTGATCCGGGGTGATTCCAGTCAGCTGCCCTTCATCTGCTCATTCCTCMTCATCCACACACAGTGTTTCTCTTACCCCTAACCCCTAATTTACACTACATGTGTTCCGTCTCCGCTCTGGTCCGACCTCCGCAGCAAATACACACCCATTATAATCAATGAGAGTGTTTACACTGGCTGTGCACGGCTGCACAGGGCGGCGGTGAGCGGACGGCGATCCATCAAAATTAGAACAGATCCTATTTTTGACGGATGCCAGAGCTGCGCCGGAGTCAATTTTTTAAGATTACGTCGCACCAACAGGAAAAGAAACTAGCACAACATCCGTATTTTCAAAATAAGACACTTTTAGGCTGGATAATTTGTCAGAATAATATCAAAATTGCAATGCTGCAACCTGCGCAGCGGAGCGGAGCGGAGATGTAACGCATGTAATGTAGGGACCAATAAATAACTGAACAAAATTAATTGTTCTACGAAACAGGACAGATGGGGCACACCTGTTTTATCAGATTTTAAGGCTTTTTATATTTTAAATAGTTTTTGCAAAAATAGATTTTTTTCTTCAATAGCTTTTAAGTCATCTGATCCAAGTGTAATGTTTTATTATATATATTTTTTTTTATTTTACTGAGTTACCTGAAACTTTTGAACCCCCTGGGTTAGTATTGTTGCCTCACAAGTAGCTTCTTTGTCTACCTTCTGTTTTTTTTTTTTTGTTTTTTTCCAGTCTTAAAAATATTTATGTTGGGTAATTGAGCATTCTAAATTAACCTTAAGTGCAAGTAAGCATGCTCAATGTGTATCTCTGTGCTGACTCTGCAACTGGCTGGCAGCCTGTCCGGGGTGTACCTTGCCACTTGCCCAATGACCCCTGAAGGCTGCTCCCTAGCTCACTATTTGAGTGGTACATAGCAAATCATACAAACTGCACAGTAAGGCTGCACAATATACCAAAAAATATATTGACATTGCAACAATATTGCAAAGGACTGCTTGAAGTCCAATAAAACAAAGGCTCTTGTATTTTAAATGCCAAGCATTCAAGCTATTATTTTTAGAAAACCAGATGAACCCTCACTGTCCTTGATCTCCACACCTACTTTAAATGATTGTGGCTGAAACACTCAAGATAGAACAGAAAGTGGAGCGAGGAAATGTGGGTTGATCACAGCTGATGTCATCACAGTAGTCAGCAACAGTATCACAATTGTAGGTTTGTTTTAATACCAAGCAACCCTTGAGCACATTAAACATTCATAAAAGGGATGGTCACCAATGTACCATTGTCACCATACAAACTTATTTCACAAATCAAATGTTTGGAAAATCACCAAGTTTGCCAAGTACAAAAATTTGAAACTAAAGAAAGACAGCACGTAGTCCATGAATAAATGTTACACAGACATGGGGAAATAATCTAAAAATAAAATCCATTCATACATTTTCTGCCACTTATCTGTGGTTGGGTCATACAGGTCCCTCTCCACAAGAACTCTCTAGCTCCTCCTGGAAGATCCTAAGGTGTTCCCAGGACAAATCTCTATCAAGTTTTAGGTCTGCCCTGGGGTCTCCTCCTAGTGGGATTTGCTTAGAAAACCTCCAGAGGTAGGGACCCAGGTGGCATCTTTATCAGGTGCTCAAACCTCCTAAGTCAATTTCTTTTGACATGGAGGAACAGCTGTTCTACTCTGAGCTTCTTTTGAATGCAGCACTCGTCACCCTAAGGCCAAGCCCCGACACCTCACTGAGGATACCTATTTCAGCCGGTTGTATCCGGGATATTGTTCTTTCAGTCGTGATCCACACCTCATGACCAGAGGTGAGCGCTGGAACACACACGGATCAGTAAATTGAGATCCTTGCCTTCCAGCTCAACTCTCTCTTTACCACAACAAAGTGGACGAGACCCTAATCTGTTGCTCCATTTCCTGCTCCATCCTACCATTTCTCGTGAGCAAAACTCTCATCAGAGGTGGGCAAAACCAACCCACCCCAATGCACTTTTCTGAAGTGAAGCAACAGATGGAAATACGCTTGTATCTACTTTTGGTCTGTGCAAAAATATATATTTTGAAAGGTCCCTGTTAAATAAATAAACTAATAATAAGTGAGGTAATAACAGAACCAAAACCAAAAGGTGAGCTTGTGCCACTACTCCAGTACTCCAGTGTTTTTCCAACCCTAGTCCTCAAGGCACACTGTCCTGCACGTTTTAGATGTTTCCCTGCTTCAAAACAAATGATTTCAATTAATTACTGATTAGCAGGCTTTTGTTGAACTGCAATCATCTGAGTCAGGTGTGTAAGAGCAGGGAAAACTCTAAAACATGCAGTGCAGTGTGCCAGGGTTAGGAAACACTGCACTACTCAATGTGATAAATTGATGAGAGCAACTCTGCATTACCCC